ATGAAGCATATGTGGATTAATTTTAACAAGTGAATATTGTGTGTATCGTTTGGAATACATATGGTGAACCTATCAACATATGCAATTACGTCATGAATTTAGTTTGAAAATTATGGTTTCATATTTTGTTTCGTTGTTTATGCATTAAGTATTGACGTGATCCAAGTTATTGATTCCAAATCAATTTGAATATATATTTTGAATTTTAGTCTAATTGACTAATGAACCAATGAATGGTATGCAACATGTATATTTATTTTCTAATTCTGTCATGAGTTGTAGAGCAAATATCCTGTTGAATTTTATGCATATCGATTTGAGTTTCCCTGAAGATTAATGTCTCCCTAGTGAATTTGAATACCTTATTGATCTAGATTTGGATATCCCTGAAGGATTGGTCCTGACCAGTGTCTTCATTGAATAAGAATTATCTTGAGTATCTTTGACAAATTGATCTAGTAAATAATTTCGTTGATTTGTATATAAGTATTATGAAATTATTTATGTTTATTTGTATGTTTGATAAGATGGATACCATTGACTTATATTGTTGATAGCTACAATATTAAATTTATATGTAGTGCCCGAAGCACATAATATTGTTGATAGCTACAATAACAGACTCACAATTAAAGTTCAATTGTAGTGCCTGAAGCATATAGTGTTCACTTAGAAATGAATTATTATACTTCGATGCCCCAACTTATATATTTGATAATTGGCATGAGCAGTTGGATCATATTGGGCAATTATTTATGATACTTTCCCCCTAAAATGCGTGGAGAATTGAACATTTAGCATCTGCAATTTATTATTATTATGCATCATTTTATATCACCACCAATTCGTACCTTTAAAGGCCTATATTACAAACTAGGTATGCTATGATTTTTATACTCTGTCGAATTTTTTTTAGTACCTAGAGGCCATTATAGGGGATCAATTTATTCTTTGGTACATTTTTTGCATAATACATGAAGATGATTTCACGGCATTAGGGGGAGATATGAGCATAAGTTTATTAATGCCGTGAAATATGTGAAATATGTGATTATTTGAAACCACGCAATAAAGATTGAACTTGAAGTTCATATTATATTTCTGCCAAGAGAAATCTATAGTAATAATGGAGTGACCAATTTGTATATGTATAAATGTACCACAAAGCAAGTAAATATCCTAGGGAATGATTGATTCCTTAATGCTTGAAGCATAAGGTGATATGATATATGAAAGTCCGCGGAAAATATATATTCAAGAACTAACACTCCTTTATAAGAAACTCCTGAAGAGTTGATCCAGTACATCTTGCACGTGCATCAAACCATTATAGTACTGGACATGCGGAACGGCCAAAATTAGATGTTATGGGAAATGATTATAAATATGGCTAGTAAATATGAAGTTGCATATATGGTTGAGAGAAAAATATAAATTGAATATCAGTTGTCGACAACATACTTGCCTATTGATTTCTTTACTATCTCAAATACTGATCCGGATCAAAATAATGAAAGTGCTAGAAGCACTTAGGTTGATTGAGGTAGAAAGGAAAATTGAGGCAGAGCTTTCACTCGCTACACGGTATATCCCAGGAGGATAGCATATCCCAGAAGGATAATGAATATTTATATGAAACATGTGATGTGGTGGTGTAAATGTAGCGAGATTATGCTCATGGGTTTATTCAGAGACCCAAATATTTATTTAGATAAGTTCTCTCATTATCAATGATTCCGCAAGTTAGTATTTATGGCAGCAACATTACTATGACTATTGAGTCATATGTGAAAGTCCTGGATGGACTCAAGTACCCGAGATGAAAGATAATTAAATCATAAATCGTTTAATTATTTAAAATTGTTGGTAAGATGTGGTACAACCAACTAAATTCTTCCTGAAGAAGTAAAGTAAGAAATTCAAGTTAGAACCTTGTGTATAATGATAGTATACAAATCATCATCTCGGTCAAATAGATTATGTGGTGAACACTATGTAAAAGATTAAATAAGTTAGCTCATGCTTATAGACGGAGTTAGAATGAAACTCTTGGTTAAATACCAAAGAGTATTAACTCGACTTGTAGATCGAGCATCTCCTAGAAGGAGTATTTTTTATCCAACCAATCTACTTGAATCTCTTTATAGAGATGTAAAATTATAACACCAATGAGTGTCAAATATTTTCAATTTGACAAAGATTTATACAGATCCAAAGAAACAAATGAGGATATTATAGGACCTGAAGTTCTAATGGACTTGAAGTCCACAAATGACCTGAAGTTTATTTACTAAGCGCAATTGTGCTAAACTTTTATCACGCAAACTGCATCAGGCCTGATACTGCATTTCCGATGAATTTGCTAGCAAGATTTACTATCTCTCTCCTTAGAGAGATGTCGTGATAAATTTGAGAATATCCCATTATGCTTTCATGTATGTTGAGTTATCTTTGGACTAGATATATGATATTGGTGGATAAAGACATAAATTGTATAATTGATCCCCAAGTGTTGGGTCCTCGATTGGTTATAGACCTCTTAAATGGTATTAACTCTTTACCATTGGTTATTTAAATTTCCCCATATTTATCTTGAAGATAACTCAGTTTGTGTTACACAAATAAATTATGGAAATACATTTGATGATATTTTTTGAATCCATATTAACTCCGGAAGAGCAACCAATGACGATTTTATGTAGATACTCTTGCCTTGAGGGGGAGCAACAAACATTTATAAATGTAACTTGAAAGGCTCTTGCCTACAGGGGGAGCGATAAATAAATCCTGAAGATCGAGCCCAGAAGGCTAATTGTAATCCTGAAAATTAGGCCCTGTTGGCCGGTGCTGTACTCTTTTTCCCTTAGCTAAGTTTTTTTCCATTGGGTTTTACTTAGTAAGGTTTTTAACGAGGCAGCAAGTGTAACACATTAATATGCATATGTCATGTACTCTTTTCCTCGACTATTTTTTCCCACTGGGTTTTGTAGCGAGGTTTTTAACGAGACATGGACATGATGTAGTAATGTCCAAGGGGGAGTGTTATAAATATATGAGTATGGACATTACTAATCGATAATTGGGCCTGAAGTCCATTAGTTATGGAAATTAGGTTTTAGGGCTTCTCACTTGTAAACCCTATAAAAAGGTGATATACGATGAATAAAAAGATATACTTTTCTGCTCTTTTGTCTCTTGTTCTCTCACTCGTTTCTCTTTACTTCGTTTGGTGTGGATTGATGAATGCTTGAGTATCCCAATTTACAACATTTCTTATTAAAGCAATAAAATTATTGCAATAATTTTATGATTAATATTGACATTCAACAAACTCAAATGAAAGTCACGCAATAAAATGATGCTGAAATATTTAATTTACCAATCTAATTGATTAAAAAAAACTATTACATCTACAGCATGAATGAATAAATATTTGTTTAATTTGTTTCTATAAACTTTAGAACGTACAAAAAAATAAAAAAATAAAAAAAAACCAAGTAGCCAAAATGAAGCACAATACAACTATATACATTTAACATTTTCATACTTGAATAATCAAGCGTTCATCTCTAATGCGCCAAATCGGCATCAATCATAATTACCCTTCTGCTTATTCTTCTTCCATTCAACATCATCCCAAGTCCCAACTTTAGCCTAAAGTTGATCAATTGTCTTGACACCTTGAAAACTAGGATACATATGACATTGAAGATAACATTACAACTGTTTATAAAAATTATAGCTTTAGCAAGAACAAAAACTATAACACTATAAAGTATAAAAATAAAAGGGTAATGGTATGATCATGCCTAATTGTAACAGACTATTGCACAAAATCAAAAACTACAATATTACAAATTATTTAACATACAAACAAAAAGTATTGTCTGCCTCCCCCACCCCAACCTAAAAGAGAAGAAAATGAATGATATAAAACGTCCGTTCTTTAAGAAAAAATAACATTACCTATTATTTAATAGAAGCAAAACTTCATTATAATTCCAAAAATGTGCACCATAAGAAAGTATATACCCGAAGAATCATGAAACCTTTGCCTCGACCGTGGTGACAATTTGCCATTTTTTTGATTTTTTTTTATGAGAATTCGTCGAGAGGAGGTTGGGAGAGATTTTGAATTCTTGAAAGAAAAGAAAGTATGAGAGAGGCAAAACGGTCCAAGGAACGGTACATAATAATGAGCGGTAAATAGCAATTCACAATTAAAAAATGAGATTACGCGAGGTGGACATTCTATTGTAGGGCTTGACTTTTTGTTATTGTGTTACAATAGGGCCTGAATTTTAAACCTTTTTATTTGAGGGTTTCAATTTTAAGTTATTCTCGTATAAAGACTTATTTTTACATTCTACTTCTCAATTTAAGACACCAACTAACTTTATATTTTTACATAAATATATAAACCAAAATATTATTATTTTAAAATTTATATTTTAAATAATTATAAATATATTTAGTAATTACTTTAGTAAGAAAATTAATTCATTTAAGTTAAATTAGTTTTGCATAAACGTAATTTATTTGAATTAATTTTCTTAAAAAATTATAGCTTAAATGATTATAAATATATTTTGGTGCACATTATAGTAAAAAAATTTGAACTTTTAAAAATAATTTTTTTAAAAAAAAAAAATGTATTGTGGTTTACATAATCATGTCAAAATACAAAATGATTTGAAATCTTAAAGTAAAAAATAGAATACAAAATTAGATCTTATATTGAGAATAACTGAGAAACCTTCAATTGAAAAAATTAAAAATTGAGAGCCTAACACATTACCCAAAAATCAAACCATACTGTGAAATTTTCCATTAAGCGAGCCCAATAAAAAGACGAAATAAAAATAAAAATAATAATAATAATAATAATAATAATAATAAGAAAAGACAACCCAAAAAGTGCACCAAAAAAATCACACACGTTTAGTGTGAAATGAAAATATAAAAGCTAGTGCGAGTGAAAAAGCACTACAAATAAACACGTTTTTTTTTTTCTTCCCCCTCTCTAAAACCACCAAACCCCCTCCGATCAAATCAAACCACCTCTCTTTTCTCGCTCTCTCTGCTACAATCATACAAAATTGCGTGTTTTCTTTTGTAATATCAAAACCATCTGTGAATATCTTTAAATATTTGTAAATTACTTGTATTGTATACGTTTGTACTCTGGTATAATCTGCAGAGAGAGCGAGAGTGTTTGCGTGTAATATATGGACAGGCACAGTGGGAGCCAGGCAATGGAGTCGGTGCCGGTGGATCTGGTGGCAGAATGGGCAGCGCCTGGTGGAGAAACTGGGCTTGAAGGCGAGTTGCATTTGAATTTCATACGAATTTCATTTGAATTTGGGTCGAAATTTACTGAATTGAGCATGAGTCTGTGCAATGTTGATTCATTTGAGGTATGATTTATGCATTTGCAGAGCCTATGTGGCAATTAAGTCTCGTAGGCGGGCCTGAATCGTACCCCGAGAGGCCCAGTGAGCCCAATTGTATCTATTACCTGAGGACTGGGTTTTGTGGGTACGGAAATCGGTGCCGTTTCAATCATCCACGAGACCGAAGCATGGTAAAAGTCTACAACTTTTAGACCTATAGAGTAAATACTAAGGCTTTAATACGTTGTGATCATGGGTGAACGATATTTGATGCAAATTTTAGGCAAAGTTGAACTTTTTTGTACAGGAGGGGTACTGTTTCTTTTTCTTTTTCTACCCTTATATATTAGAAGTGAAACAGATTTGGGGGAGAAGCATGCATTGAGTGTTGGGATAGTGGTCTTCATTTGGATTTGGTAGTAATTTGGTGAAAAACAGTCTATTTTCGTGGTTTTTGTGTAAAAAATGCAGACAGGTCAGCAAAAGCATTTACATTTTGGATGGCCAAATCTATATGGTGCACATGCATTGAATCAAATTAGTAGTTTTTTTATATTTATGATTGTTATCCCTGTGAGTATGGTCTCGTTATTCTGGCGAGGTTTGTAATTGTCTATTATCTCAATCTGGTCAATGTTAACCTAATATATTTGTGTGATATAAGGCAATGGGAGCCTTTCAAGCTGGTGGGGGAGAGTATCCAGAACGTGTAGGCCAACCTGTCTGTCAGGTACTCAATTGCTTTTAAATTGTTTGACTGCGAAAGTTGTGGTCTTATATGCAAGTAGATGAAGTTTTAGTACCTTTTACCAAAAACAACTTCATTGCATAATTTTACAACCTCAGTTGGGTGTTACGTGAAACAACTGAACTATATTTGGTGCATAACCTATGTCTTCGTATCTTCATTGCATAATTTTACAACCTCAGTTGGGTGTTACGTGAAACAACTGAACTATATTTGGTGCATAACCTATGTCTTCGTATTGCTCTTTTTAACTTAGTATTTTCCATCAGTTGCTTGATGGTGCTGAAGGCTTAAAACTATGTGCTATGTATAATTAATCTCATCCTCTTATTGGATGTTCAAGGGTGCGTGTTTAAGTCGAGTGTTATTCTTCTGTTTATCTTGAAATACTTGTTTAAATTAATCCTAGATGGCTTTTCTATTATGCCAAGTTGCGTGCGACTCTTATGCTAAATTTCCAGAATCTGTGTCAGCCACAGTTATAGATTTTGGAAGTTTTTTGAAAGGTCTGCTTATAGCTCTCTGAAACTATAGATCTTAAGTTTCATCTGTTCTCTGTCATGTCTAAGGATATTCAATTGAATTACAAGGTCAAAGTCTTGATATTAGCTACAGTCGATCTACGAGGTTATACTCTTCAAGAGATCCACCTGCTTATTATTTTCTATTGGAAGCATGCCAATGTTTGATCCTGTGGGCTTAAATGCTTTATTTGGTAGTCATTTTCTGGATCTTGCTCCTTCAGTAGTTAAGTCTGTTTCCAATCTGTGTTAGGGAGGTTTAGTGTTGTATATTGATGGATGCTTCATCTGTTGCTGTATGATATCATCTTTATACCTTCATAGGATTCTTCCCCAATACCATTAGTGTGTTTGACTGTTTTCTATTTTTTCATAATTGCAATCTTATAAGACGGTATTTGTGTATCAGGAAGAAGCAGAATATCCTTTTTAGATTATGTCTGGATGTATCATCTACTAACCATGGATTCAGCATTTTCTTTCTCTTTTACAGCATGTTGAATCTCGTATACTAAAGCATAAGTTACTTTGATCTTTCCCCTGTGTTTCACATTGGATATAACTTTAGGTAGTTTAAATTCTTTTAAGGTATATCACTAGTGAGTATCGAACAATACGCCAGACATAGGGTGTGAAGTTTTCTGTTTTCTCACATTTTTCATCTTCATGTTATCCTGCTATATGAGTACACAAAGCTTCTTGGTTTCTGTTCCTTATAATCTTTTCCTCTTCTTCTTTTTCTTCTTCGGTTTTTTTTTTTTCTCTGGGTGTATACTGGGATCTTATGGCATTGTTCTTGGAATCGTTGTTCTCTGCTACCTTTGACGCCTACTTTTTTTTATTAATTTTAGCATTTGCAACTGATTGATACCCGACCCCGAAAAGATGGATCATTGATGTAACTGGTTTAACATTTGTCAGCTAGTGGTTATATTTGGATTGGAGATTTCTCATGTATGCCTTTCTCGGTTATACTACAAGGGATGAAGGTCTTGCTCATTTTGTTGCACTGTTAAGATTGACAGTGTTGTCTAGGTCCATTCTTTTTCCTCTTGTTTATCCTCTGACCCGTGCCAGCTGGGATTTAAGCAACCTGATACCATTGGAACGATTATTTTATGCCAGATTGCCATTTGCTTCAAAATATGAAAAGGGTTTTTGCATGACGAGCATGTACATCTTTGTTACAGTTGTTATACCTTCATTTGCCATTAATCTTTATTGCATTGTCCATGTTTACACTTCAAGGATCAAATTATTCTCATATTTAATCAAGATATTGGCTCTTTTCTTTTTTCTAAAAAAACAATATTGTTCTATCTGTTAAGTCGCCATCTTTCTTATTTAAATCGGATACATGTTTTCTCCATGACAATCCTCTTCACAAAATAAAATAGCAGTTCTGCCCTTCTTTATTGAATTCATGCTATTTTTCCTGGATTTGCAGTACTACATGCGGACGGGAACATGCAAATTTGGCGTTTCCTGCAAGTACAACCATCCCAAGCATGGAATCGAGTTTTCAGGCCAAGTGACTCTTAATGTTTATGGATATCCCTTGCGGCCTGTCAGTCCCTTCGAATATTTTTTCTACTTATATTTTCTTTAGAAACATTAATTTACCCATTTCAAATAATATATTTTCTTTTTTGCAGGAAGAAAAAGAATGCTCATATTATGTAAAGACAGGGAACTGCAAGTTTGGTCTCACCTGTAAATTTCATCATCCTCAACCTGCAGGAATATCAGTGCCAGTGCCTGCTCCTGTTCTTCCACCATCAGTTTATCCAAGTGGGCCCTCTCCTTCTGTTCAATCTTCACAACAATATGGGGTTATTCAAGGAAATTGGCCAGTTGCAAGGCCTGTCATAATTCCTGGTTCATATGGTCCTGGAAGTTATGGTCCATTGCCACTCCCCCCAGGAGTTGTTCCTGTTCCAGGCTGGAATTCTTTTACGGTAAGAATATTTGATGCTGTTGTTTTTGAAAAGCTGCAAGATTTGTTTCACAAGGTTGACCAAGTTGTAAATAAGATCCCATTTTGACTTTGTTTGCAAGAAATCAACGCTAGGGAACCAATTTCACATAATTTGCAAGTCGGTCAATCCTATGGACCAATTTTGCTATTTTCTTTCTTTCTTTTGATTTTCTGTGGCCCATATGGAGAGTGTTTGTTTGATCGGATGGTTATTCGAGATTTCATTATTTTGTGCTAAATTCTGGAAGTTTTTATTATAGGCACCTGTTAGTCCTGTGGACTCCCAAAGCACTCAACCAGCAGTTGTCGGCAGCCTTATTTATGGGATAACACAGTTGTCTCCTTCAGCGGCTGCATATACTGTACCATACGTTTCAATTACTTCTTCTGGTGGCCACTCAAGTAATAGTGAAAAGGAACATGCATATCCAGAAAGACCTGATCAGCCAGAATGCCAATATTTTCTGAGAACTGGAGAGTGTAAATTTGGGGCTACTTGTAAATATCATCATCCATCAGAGTGGAGTGTGCAGAAGACCACTTTTGTGCTTAGTCCAATGGGTCTCCCCCTACGCCCAGTACGTATTCAGTTCCATATGCTGTTTACATTTTTTTTTTTTTTTTTTTTTTTTTTTTTGTGAGATTTGTGCAAAATATCATCTATTATGAAGTTTGCAACTAATATTTTCTATCCCATTCAAGTTGTCGAATTAGAAAATGTATAACCTTGTGAAAGTATGTTGCATGTAACTCCAAACTAGATTGATGCAGAAATTAATGACCAATAGTTGCATTCTGCTGTTCCATTTTCATAATGATGTGAACCTTTCCATTTTCATTTTTCTCTGATAAATTTACCCATTTCCCCAACTTGATCTGCATACGGATGCTCCCATGTTAAATGTAAATCCTAGTCATCTTGATTTGCTTTCGAAGCCATGCATAATAATTTTGGCAATCATCTTATAAGCTTCTGGTATGTCATGGAGATTTGCACTCTTACCATTTCATCTTTATCCCTAGACCAAATTGTTTCTCGTATTTGTTTCTCCCAATGTGATGGATTATGATCCTTAAAAGATGTTGGTGTCTTTTTTGCATTTTGTTTTCTTTGTCTACTTTTTTTCTTTACTCAGGATCTTGACTGGGCATATAAACCTGTTTTTTTCTGTGTTGTAGTCGTTTTCCATTTACTTATTACACTAAAAAATTATATTGTCCAAAGATTACCCACTCCTCTCTTTTTTTCCTCCTTTTTTAGGGCGCACCACTTTGCTCTCACTACGCGCAAAGCAGAGTATGTAAATTCGGGCCCACATGTAGATTCGACCACCCGATGAGAACTCTGAGTTACAGTCCATCAGCTTCCTCTCTGACTGATATTCCAGTCGCCCCTTATCCCGTGGGGTCCACCCACCCTACCTTGGCTCCATCATCTTCATCGTCCAATTTGAGGTTCTTCAACAGAGACGCCTTCACGTCATCTCAAATGTCTTCCATGAACAGCCCAAACGAGTTTGTTGGCCCAATACTCTCGAGCAGCGGTGGGCCCATCCCAAAACCGGGCCTTCAGGTCTAAAGATTCATCGAGCGAGAGCAGTGGCATGAAAATATGAATTAATCGAGTAGTTGCTGCAAATCCGTAAATATCACAGCCATATTCCTCAAAAGATCCTTTTGCAAAAACCTCATTTGGCCTCATCAGCTTCTTTTTTTAATAACAGGAAACCAGAAAACCGACTTTTTGTTTAGCAAAAAAAATTTGCAATGCTGCTCAAAATTTTTGAAGCTTGTTTCTCGATTGTTGTTGTATTTGTGGTATTTTTTTCCGGAACGGGAAAGATGCATCACAACATGCTCAATGTGGAATGTAAGTTATGTAACTGGGTCCTTTTATGTCAAAAGAGCAACCCTGACTTGACTAGGGAATGAATGTGCAGTTCCTTTCTTTCACCCCCTTTTTTTTGTTATGGGGCATTGTTTTTGTGGAGGCAATGNAAAAGAAAAAAAAAAAAAACACTATTAGAGCTGCAAATACAATTTAATGCTGCCTTTGTATTGAAGATGTGTAATTATGTTGTGAAATGTGAATTGCTTGAATGCTTTATTTCCTCATAGTTGTTCGGAAACGCTAGGCTCAAGAAATTGTTTGACAAATGTAGTTTCGATCTACTAGCTTCTTGAATGAAAATGCTACAGAGTATACTTTAAATGAAATGCCAAATTAAATAGCAATTTTAAATTTTGAACATGTTTTAAAATTCAACGATATTTATATTTGTCATCTGTTTTTTACAAATAATATGTTAAATTAATCTCCTTTGAAGATATTCAATAAGGTCAATGTGGTGACGTTATTGAATATATAAATAAAAACAAATTATATATATTTTTATATATAAATTAAAGTTATTTATCAATTACAAGTGAACTTTAAAATTGTTAACCATCAATAAATTTTTTCGACACCAGGAGGATTTAGGTCGAGAAGAGAAATAATTATTGGTACAGGAACAAGACTAGTCATATATACAGGAATATCTAAAAACTTAAGAGGAATAGCTCGAGGAATGGATTCAAAACGTGGAATAATGTTTTAAATACCGTATCGTATCAACCAGTATTACCGGTAATCACTGTTCTAAAAATCGGCCTAGGCGGCCGCCTAGGCGGCTCCTAGGCGCTAGGCGGTGCCCGGGCGCCTCCGATTTGTACAAATCGGCAGAAAAAATCGGCCAGGCGGCTAGGCGGCGCCTAGGCGGGCCTAGGCGCTTCTAGGCGGGCTTGGCGGGCTCGGCGGCCAGGCGGTTAGGCGGCGTCTAGGCGGGCGTAGGCGAACCTAGGCGCTCCTAGGGCGACAATTTTTCAGTTTTTTTTTTCTTAAATACTAATTACATTATTTTGTTCTCATGTTTTCTCTAATATATATTAATATTAATATTTGGAATTTGGTGTGTGAATTTATTATAAGTTGAGATAGTTTTATTTTATAGGTAGTTAAAATAAATAAAAAATAAGACATTTAATATTAATTTTTGGGCCCCGACTACGCGCTCTAGGCGCTAGGCGCTGGCCGAACGCCTAGCGGGCGCCTACCGACTTTTAGAACACTACCGGTAATATCGGATACCGGTGGTCCGACCGGTACGGTTACACTCTAAATACCTTTTTGGCCAAAATACCGGTTTATACTGGTTTCATATCAGAAAATACTGGTTTTACCGACAAATACCGGCCAAAATACCGTTTTATGCCTTTTAAAAAAAAATATTTTTTAATATATTTTCATTAATTTCTTTATATAAATTGAAAGTCCACACATAATTTTAATATGTTTACATTGTTATTAGATGTTAATTAATTTTAGTATTAGTTAAAGTTAGTTTTGTACATCATTTATATTATAATAATAAATAAATTTAATATTTATTGAAACCGGTAAACGGTAATACCGGTTGAACCGCGTACCGTTGGCTCATCCGATATACTTACCGATACGGTATTTAAAACACTGACGTGGAGAACCACCTGGGGAGACGACCTCAGAGCACGATTATAATCCTCCCAGTCGACCTCCCCAATAGTGTCATTGTCCGATTCTCGAGAAGGGTTACCATGATCCCAAGCTACCTCGAAACCCATTATTTGGATAGAAGAATTGGAGGATTTTAGGGGCCCATCAACCAAACGACTGACCGAGTCGGGAGAGGAATCTATAGGTCATTTCAAGATACGTCGTGATCAGATTATTTATCAACAATAGGGAGCACAACTAAGTCGAGGTCGCGATAAGCAATTGAAGACAACCTAACCAATTTAGAAATACGACCTACATACGCTTAAGTCGACTAGCGAGACACAATTATCAGATGAAAATTAGGATCCTTAATATCAAAAACAAATTTTGCTAGAACAAACATGAAGATTATGAAGAACATGAAAAACACGAGGAACATTAAAAAAACATTCAACTTAAAACCCAGAAATAATGAAGAAATAATCAAGAAAAAAGATTACTACTTGCGTTATAAGAAAAACTTACTCATTGCGAATTGTTGGACGGACCGGAGAGAGAGTTTATGGATGGAAAAAAATCGTCGGAGTTGCAGTATGCCGAGGAGTCAATGAAGTTCAGAATAGATTAAATGGGCAAAAGTGTTGAGGTGAAATCGGAGGGGATATTTATAGTCAATCCAATGGATTCGGACCCTTGGATCAGGATATGATTGAAAGGTTTAGATCAAACACGGGAATCGAAAAGTTATAATATGAAGTGATGCAGGCATCTTTTCGGACCTTCATTTATGACAGTGTCGCAACTGTCAGAGAGTCAGAACCATTAATTTTACTCCTAAGCTCGAGGTCGTTTGGAGTACATTTTGGGAGGGGGGAGACTAGATGATATAGCCATACTTGCGTAAACCGAAATAAGTAAAGGAAGTTTGACTTGAGTATAGGCCGACTGGAAACAAAGACAGTTAATGAACATGACGACCTCGAACTAGTACGATTCAGTGAACTATCATAGCTCGAGGTCGACATTAGATGACCTGAGAACCCTGATGATGACCTAACCCTCGAATATCCGAACCTGACCCTCATAATATGGCCTAAGTCGACCTCTCTTGTTCAATCTTGACCTGGCCTATCTTATTGCTCGAGGTAGGTTATGGGTTGGATTGTCTCAGAGTGAATAACGACCTAAGATCATGCAATTTTAAAGGATAAAAGAGAATCTGAAAGGGATAAGAAGGATTCTTAAAATGACTAGAATCTGACTAAGAAATGATTAGGATATGGATAAACATTAAATCTGGGCAGCTGGGCAGGCTGCCCATGGGCACCCGGATAGAGCATTCCGGGCAGGTATTTCCCTATAAAAGAGATTGAGGTATTCCCAAACCCTAACTTTACATTCTCCATATATTATATACTGCTCTTATTTATAGGGCACCCTGACCTTCTTGATACTGACTTAGGCATCACAGGCTATTCGTCGGAAACTCCTCCGGTGTTGAGTTCTTATAGGTACATGCAAGATGGTTCAGGTAGATCGGGCTCATCTTCAATTGATTCTATCCAGGTCTGAAAAAGGGACCCATCAGTTACCTTGATAGAAAAGACACGAATCTTTTCTAGGGCATACATCAATTTTGATTGTTACCTTGATTGCCCGTTCGTCGTATACATCAATTCTCGATTGTTACCTTGATTGTCTGTTCGTCTTGATGATGTCGGCGTTCGCTTAAGTGGTAGAGTACTCGTGCTGATAACGTGGTGTAATATTTATCAACTCATACACAGAGAAAGGAGAAAGCAAGAGGACATGAGAGAAAGAAAACGAGACACAGAAAGAGAAACCGTCAAAACATCAGTTTATTTTATTAATTCGTGTGTACTCTTTATATAGGGAAGTACATTATACATGACTAGTAACCGAACAGACTAATAGTCCATACCTACAAAGTTTATATCTAGGTAATGTCCAAAAATAATAATCTATATCTATATCTATATCTATATCTATATCTATCTATCTATCTATATCTATATCTATACTACTCTAAAAAGACGAGTGTTTTTGTAAAAATATGAATTACCTAAAATAACTTTACTTTGACATATTTTTAATGGCAAATTAGTAATACACTAATACATATTTTATTTTATATTTTTAATTAAAAAATGAATTACCTAAAAAACCCTTACTTTAACATGTTTTTAATGGTAAATTAGTAATACACTAATACATATCATATCTTATATTTTTAATTAATAACTAATGCTTAATTAATGAAATACAAATACATGAACAATACATTTCACATCTTCTAAAAATCAAACAAAATATTCACGCACCATTATTTCTCATAAAATTGCTTTCTTCCACATATCTCCCAAAAATCAACTCAACGTCAACCTAAACAACAAAGCTTTGAAAAAATTCTTCTTTTTAATATAATTTTATACATTATCTGACAAACTATAAATGTTGAACAATTCATTTAACTACTTCATTATTTAAGAAAAGTACACTCTTATATTTAGAATTAGAATAGAAATTGCACTTTCGTTTTACTGGATTGAATTTTGATCCCACAAAAATCTTCATTTGGTTGTTTGTTTGTTTTTTTCAATTTTAGTCACAAAGTGAATAAAATTAACGAATTTTCACTTGACCATTAGATGGTTAATATCAAGGTGAGTAATATTTTAATTATTAACACTTAAAATATATGGATTTTACATTCTATAATTAAGTAAAATATCATGATATTTTAATTATTATTATTTTATTTGAGCCACTGATTTTTAAGATGTGTGCTAAATAAAAGAACAATATGAAAGTAAAAAAATATTAAATCTGATGAATAACATTAAAAATATAATTAAGGTGTAAGACTTACTAATAAATATGAAAATAAATAATAAATAAAAATTTTATAACTAATAAAAGTAAACAAAAAACTTTTAAAACTTATACTTATCGATGTAAATGAATCGAATTGTTTATTTCTTTTTAATTTTTTGTGCTTATTAGTTCTATGTGTAACTTTTAGGTGATAGATAATAGTTATTTGTACTTTTATCTATGTAGATTGGAAATTTTAATATTTAAAAAAGTAATTAAATTTTAAATAACTTTTTATTTGCTATTAGTTTTTTTAATATAATATATAAATATTATATTACAATATAAAATAATAATTATTTTTGTATTTAATATTAATACATAAAAGGTTGTAATTCAATTGAGAAATTAATAGGCAATCTTGCTTTAAAATAACGAGTGATTTCTATAATGTTATATGGACTAAAAAATTCATGTGTTTAATATATTTTTAATAAAAGAAATTGTAAACGTAATTGATTAATAGAAAAACTACAACATAAAAATTTTAATGTTTAAAAATAAATGCAAAAAAAAATGCTATATTGCAATGAAAAATCGAACGATAAGGTGTTCCACTAAAAATTCCAAAGGACATTTCATTTGCATAGCTTTCATTGAAAAATATCACTGGCTATTCCAACATAGATCAAATTAAATTATAATGGAATTTTAGTGGATTTATTGATTCGAATTACCATTATTTATTTTCTTGTGTGAATTCATTTGATTTTTTTTTTCGGAACATATTTGTACCGTTGGAAAATTTTTTATTGGAATTGTAAAAAATTCAATGAAAGTTGCATTGGAAAACTAATTGTAGTGGTAGATACAGACAATTTCATATTGAGGCACTATTTAGCTAATAGAAGAAATATATCATCAAAATAACATAATGTCATTACAATATATAAATTATACTTTTCATAATTTGTCATCTTTCTCATTTGTAATACATGTTTAGCAAATCTATAGAGTTACAAAGTTAAAAGTATTTAAAAAAAAAACATAATTTTTCTCAACTAAAGATAAGCAAATCAATGAAAATAATATATATTTTAAAATCTGATGAACAAAAAATCTATGTTGTAGTATAGATGACTCGACACTATTAGGCCTCTTTTACTAAAAATGATAGGGATATGGAGGGATTGGACACAATAATCCTTCCACTTGCCACATCAGATTCTGTCCACTATTTACTAGACATGATGCATACTTGTGCTTATCTAATCCTCTATTTATTATACATGATAAAACTGTTTAGGCAAAAAGCTGGTTCCAAAAATACCCTTCCATCTATGCCTTCGTTTTCAGGCCATTTGCACAGCAAATCGAGAAAAAAACACAGAGTTCTGCCCTAAAATTTGATCCCTCGTTCGAAGCATTTGTGGAGCAAAAATTGAGGAGGTTATACGGCCATAGAAATGGTGAGTTCTGTTGTAGCATGTATCTTCTTTTGAACTGAGGTAGACTAACAAGATGGGAAAATTTAAAAAAAAAAAAAATCGCAACTCCAATTTTGCAGATCTATTACATCCAACAGTGAATTCGTTGTGGATTTGTTAATCGAGATCCGTCGACCACCCCGATTAAGTTGACACCTGCGACTCTTAGAAGAGAGTCGAGAAAATAAAAAAAAAAATAAACGAAGAAGAAGAAGGTGAAATTACGGGAACTAGGGCAACATGAAAACGACGACGAGCATCTGTCCAATTTTCGGACACAATGATGAATTTTATAATTCCTATTTCCATAATTTTCATGACATTGAGGGGTAGAATAGACATTTTACAGACTCATTTTTGGACAAAATTGAAAAAAAAAATGGGATAAATTTATCCGCCCAAAATGGCCTGACAGAATTAACCTGGCACGTCAGTTTAATAAGATGGGACCCACATGCCACACAGTCAACACATCAGCTATATCATAATCCCTAACCAACCTAGTAAAGGAATGATAAGGTTGGTTAACCAACCTTGTCCCATCCTATCACCTCTAGTAAACGAGGCCTTATTGATTAATTTATAAGTTATAACTAATTGATTATAATATTAGTGAGAAAATTGTAATTGTATATAATATAATATTAAGATATACAACTTAAAAGTATCTTATAAAATAAATTATAGATCCATGTTAACTCAATTTTATTAATTGATAAATAAGATTAGATAAACTTGTAGTATATTTCTCTTACTTAGATTTTAAATATTCATACTAAGAAAAAAGTGCAAATAGATGTAAACGTACAACGATTACCAACATTAACTATGTGAATTAAAAGAAAAAAATAAATGAGTTGTATGTTAAACTGTAGCGGTTGTAAAATATATTTTTTGTGAATATGATAATGAGTTAGTTACTTAATATTTTATCAAACAATGGAAAAAAAATTCAAACTTTTTAATCTTACAAACAATATAAAAGTATATTTTTATCAAATATATTATTACACGTAAAAAAAATGCAATGCATATAAATGTGCTCTAATTCTTTCAACAAATAAAATATTATTTGTGAATAAAATAAAAAACAAATAAAGCAACTGTAATGCAATAGAAAAAAGAAAAAGTCTGAATTTTTTTAGAAAAGTATGAATACAAATATCAAGAAACAAAAATATTTTAAAATTACTACTTTTTTGTTGCTAACATTTAAATATATGTTATCTATAAGAAATTGATTCTCATAAATAATGATTCCCTAATATCATATTATAGAAGATAAACTTCAATAATGACTTCATAATAATAAAGTTCACAGTGACTAAGAGTATTATAGTATTATAGAATTCAAATTCTTCTCATCTCAAATATATTGACAATGATATGCTTCTCGATATTTGTCTCATTATCAGTTTTGTTTTGTTATTATTGAAGAATCAAGAAATGATATTTATCTTGAATTTTCGAAGCATTATGTATGGTGCAAAAAGTTGGACAATAAATGCATTAAATAAGCATAAATATTGCAAATCCGAACAAATGAAAAAGATATTATGATAAACAACTCTAAAATCATTGCAACAACCAAACTGTTCAATGATTTTAATATAATAGGTGATGTAGTTCTCTATCTTCCAAATAAATAACACAGAAAAGGAAATGTCTGATTCTGATCAAAACATTTTTGAATGTTTGAATAAGTTGTCAATTTTTGATAGGAATATTTACAATCTTAATTGTGTATTGTGCTCGGTCATAACCACAATTACTTTGGAGTACATACTTTCATATAATATGTGATGATTTCAAAAATTAATTTAGCGTCTTCGGAAAAGTACATGATTTTGAAAAGTCAACTTTTGTTTAGAGATGAAATTCGTCCCCACCTCATGAGGTAGGTACCAATTTGTCTATATGGAGAGAGAGAGAGAGAGTAATGTAGCAGTTTATACAATGACTAAAAACATATCAAGAATTTTAATGACACAGTTAGTTATTTCACAGAGATATTTATGAACAATTAGTAAAAATATCTTATAATAATCATATAATCATGAAGTTTGACTATATGTTTGGCTAAAATATTTTTAAGTGTTGAATAAAACAGACGTTTTGCTAAATTAATTAAGAAAAAATTTTGCAATGCTATTGATGTGTTGAGCTCCAACGAGAGTATGAATGTTTCTTATGAGAATGTCAAGACTAAAATGAAAGAAAATCACTCTTGAATCTAACATAAATTAATGAAAGAACTCATGCAGCTGTAATATACATTAGATCCTTCCTTAGTTATTTAGTGTTTTTTTTTATTAGGGACTCATTTTTCATATTTTTTTGTTGGGATTGTAATATGTTATTTAAATCATTTTATGTTACGACATCATTATGTTAGTTTAAAATAAAAAAAAATTACATTAAGAGTTTACTTGTTCTACATTTTATTTTGTTCCTGCAATGCAATCATATGTTTAATAATTTATCTTACTAAATTTAATCGAAAAAAATCATTCGTCCGTCACCACGTGCATGCACTTTACTAGTCATTTACAAATATAATCATTTAGATTAGAAATCATATACTCGAAAGATTGGGGCCAGGAATGGATTTGTGTAGAGATCAGGGATTGTTCCCGAAAAGCAATTTTGAAAACAAGAGCGCTTCTCAGCTCCATCCTCGGACCAAAGTTCAGAAACACACAGCTCACGTCCCCAACTGCTCGATGGATGTTCCGAAAGACCAATTATCCACTCTTCTGGATCATGGTCTTTACGCTTCTGCCCAAATGCTGGTACACTTTTTGGTTATCATCTTGTATTGGGGTAAGGCTACAATCCCGTTACGATACCATTCCGTTGGGATTTGTAACCGTTAGATCATCAAGTAACCGTCAATGATAGTTGATCTAACGGTTACAAATCCAACGGAATGGTTCCGTAACGGGATTGTAGCATTTTCCCTTGTATTGATCCTGATTTTGCTAATATCTTGTTAGTTGTACTGTTTAATTTTCCTTTTCTTATAGATTTCTCTGCTCTGAAAGGCAATTATGATATATAATTGTTTTGTTAATCAAGGGTTGTTTTGCTGTGACATCTGCCTCGATAAATTCGGAGACTAGTCCTCATCTTAGAGCCGAAAGCTTGGTACTTTGCAATTTGTAATGCTTTTTTTTTTCCTTAAAATATTATTATTATTGTTGGTTATTTTCTAAAACCCACATATGTTTCTTGAAATTTTCTTGTGACAGGTGCTGTATGGGGATTCACTCTTTCGAGGAAAGGAGTATCGAAGGGCAATTGTAAGGCTTTGCTGACACCGTTATTCATATTTTTTTGTGAATGACCCAATTATTTTTCTTAAATATTGTATAAGAAAATCAACACCTGCTCGAGCGCTTGTTAAATGCATCACTGATGTGTCCAGTTGTTTGTACATAGTGTCGTTGTGCATTTGGATTCTGAAAGTTAGGGTCATATAGCCATGTAGCTCTTGCAAGAGTCTGGTCTGAGCTGTTGAGTCTGCAAAGATAGTTGTTAATGTTGGGCCTTTTGGAATTTGACAACCCACATTTGATATTGACTCTACCAACTTCAGTACCATCTTTTATGATGCCAAAAAACTTGTAATATGGATTTGAGTATGCACCTGATTCTCTTTTGCTCTTTTAGTCCGTAAAATTTTCTGATGCATTCTAGAGTTAACTGGTGATGATTAGGCTATTTATTTTGTATGCTCCTTTGTTTCTTATACTTTTCTGATTTTTTGCTTGAGGTAATTGGTTGTGATTAGGTTATTTATATATTTTTATATTCACCCTTCTCAAAGTTTGTCATCTTTCGGGCAGCAAATATATAAGCAAGCATTACAATATCACAAAATACTACCAAAACAGAATGCGTCGACACCCCCGGCAACTAGGAGTGCCTTGTCAGCGTCAAGTAGATCTTCTTCTCCAAGTTCTTTCAACACTGTGGTGATAAATGAAAATGAGGTCACACAATTCACACTTTAAACCTTTTGTAGATAATTCAGTATGCTAGTCTTCTCAATGGCATATATCTTAGCTTTTTTAATTCGAGTGCAGGTTAAATTTAAGATTGCAAGTTGTTACAGCTCACTTGGTGAGAACAGAGCTGCCCTTATTGAGGTGTGTACTTATATAACTTTTTTTTTTTATTTTTTTTTTGTTACACGTCACTTTATGTTGACATAATTGATGTTTAGTTCTATGAATCATTTTTTCTTTTCTTTTATTTTCTTTTCTTTTCTTGTGTTGCTGTTGTATTATGACTTCATCTGGCTCCAGTATTTATTGCAGCTTGAATATCATGCAATTCTAGCCACAGTGATAAATGATCGATATGCAGAAAGTGTTGACAGTATATCCGGATGTGTTTAACAGATGGAGGGAATTCCAAGCAAGTCAAGGAATCTAGAAATGCATCTTGTGATGGCAAAGCTCTACCGAAATGCTAGACATACTCGAGCAGCAATTGCATGCTTTAAGGAGTGTTTAAAGTCTGGTTCCTTTATATTTAATGACTTTTATATATTCATGAGCATAGCTTCCTTAAATTTCTATTTTCTCTGCCACTGTGGTTCTGATTCTCAGGCATCTAAAAAACCAGTTATATTATTGTGCGTATTTGTAACCAGTGGGTTTGCAGTGCTTTATGAACAAATGTTACTTGTAGAGATTTCTTCATAAATTAACCTTTGAAAATCGATGCTTTATTGATTTCTGTAGTTTCTACTGTCTCTCCATATGCACAAGTATGTTTTTCATATAAATTGCTTTTTTGAAGGATATTTGCTAGTCATTCTTCACTTTGTGTTTTGGATATTACGATGACAGTTATCTCATTCCCCTTTTTTTGTCGTGGTTACCAATGCCGTCTCAAGTATTTTGTTTGTTGTGTGCTATTTTCTTCTTGTATTCATGAAATTATTTGGAATTTGTATGACAAAATATTATTGATTTCTCTATCCTTGATATGACAGGAATTGCCCGTACATTATGGAGGCTATCATTGCTTTGGCTGAATTGGGTGTTTCCGCAAAGGATATTATATCATTGTTTCCTCAGGTAACATTAATATTTTGGTGTGCTACAATATCTAGTTCCTTTATATTGTACTATTTTTAGTTTTCGCGCTTCATCTGTTTCGAGGTCATTTTTAAGTGGGGATTGATGAAAGAGTGCAACATGGTTCACGTCTATTTCAAAGTTCACGTCTATTTCAAACTCCTTTGCTTGATTAAGAGTGCTACATGTATTTGTTTAATAAATCACATATTCTAATTATATTTCCTCCAATATTTTCTGTTCATTGCAGACTCCGAACAGAAGTGGAAGGCCTCCCTTTGATCATTTTGATTCAAGTCGCTGGCTACAAGTAAGTTTTCCTGACAGCAACAAGTAACTTTCACATCTTGATTTCTACATTTATCATGTCTTCATTTGAATTTCTAGTGTGAAGCTTTTGCAAATTATTCTGTGAAAGTTACTGTATGTATTACGGATATCCCAAGAGTCAAATGTTACAACCTTGTACAAAACACACTACACTCATTTCTTACACACAAACAATACATATCCCACTACTTACATCCCACATATACAAAGTACACTGAATACACATTACATAGACATCGCATTTTAACTCCCAAACACAAACTAATACATTTCACACATTTTTATGAAGTTAGTTGTTATTTTAGATGGCGTTTTATGTGTGTTTTATGTGAAGTATATGTTCTGTGTTATACGTGAAATGGGTACCTTTTGCAATCTATGTTAGTTGAATCTGTTGTTCTGTGCTTTAAGACGCATACAAACCACACCCATGGGCACAAACACAAGTGTGAAAAGATCCTCTTAAAGCCGCGTTTCAATGCAAGCATAGCATGATTAAGTTCTCTAAATTGGCATCTCATTTATTTACTTAAAGAACAGCCTTTTCTATTACTTGGCATTGAAACAACATACTTTAGTCATTTCATCTCTTCTTGCAATGCAGCGTTATGTCGAAGCTCAATGCTGTATTGCTTCGAATGATTATAAAGGTCAGGCTACGGCTACCGATACCTTTTATATTCTCATTTTTCCTGACATGAAAAAATATGGTCCAGAATCTCCTCCTCTGTGCATAAGCCTATCTGATAATTCATTCTTGGCAAACTTTTCATCACAACAGGTCATACAATGAGGAACCCACTGTGGAAATTAATTATAACTTCTGCAGTTGTCTCAGTGTAGCCTTTTTTTGAAGATAATACATGTTAATACTTGACTCATTGTCTATATCACGTGAAGAAGTTTAAGCACATATTTTTGTCTTATTCATATTGTGTTGTGTGTTCTGCTTAGCAGGTGGGTTGGAACTTTTCTCGGAACTTCTACAGCGATTTCCAAATAACACCCACATATTACTTGAAATGGCTAAGGTTTGTAGTTGCTGCATCGATATGAAACCAAATATTTTAATTATGTTCGCAACCCTATGCTTTTTAATTATTTAATTTCTGGCTTGGGTATATAGTATATCTTGAAACGATATGGTTTTCTGTCTTATAGTCAGTTCTTGATTGCTACCTTGTAAATATAATGTGTATGAGGACTGATGTTCATTGATATATGCATGTTCTTGCTTTTATTGATGACTCGATCACTCAGACTAACCTTTATCTTGGAAAATATTTCACTTAAACTCTTAATATAATGAGAAAAATGGGCGTTTCTTGACCAAAGAAAAGAAGGGAAAAGAAAAACATCTCTCAACATTAAACACATATGTGATGAGATCTTATATATTTACTGTAGAGTTTAAATGTACTGGAAAAACTGGCTCTTATTGATATTTGTGAAAGAAGAAACAGTTTTCATTTATCCCTATTCATTTATATTTAATTGCTCTTTCTGAAGGTTAAAGCTGTCATTGGGAAAAATGATGAAGCCATTTTGGATTTTGAAAAAGTAAGTAGTTCACCCCTAATTCTTCGAGTTTGTTCTATCGATATTAGGATTACATTTACAAAAACGGTTTCTACAGGTTCGGTCGATTGATCCATATGTGGTTACATATATGGATGAGTACGCACTGCTTCTGAAGATTAAATCCGATCATTCCAAGTTAAATAAGTTGGTTCACGATCTATTGAACATTGACCCCGCCAAACCTGAAGTTTTCGTGGCTTTATCTGTTTTGTGGGAAAAGAAAGACGAGAGAGGAGCTTTAGCATATGCAGAGAAGGTCAGAATTTCTCGTGTTTAGTTCAAACTAATTGACTCTTAAGTGCTTGTGTTGACTTTTTTCTGGTAAAATAATGACAGAGCATCCGTATTGATGAGAGGCATGTTGCAGGTTACATAATGAAGGTAGGTCATTCCTTTATTTACCATGTAAAATATCAGATATTTGTCTATCATGTATTTTGTAGTTCAAATTTGCAATCTTTAACTGATGTTTTAGCATAATAAATTTCCATTTCAATTGCCTATATATATTTATTTATATATATTATTAGGGGAATCTTTATTTGGCAATGAATCGGCCAGAAGCTGCAGTGGTTGCGTTTAGGGGAGCTCAGGATTTGAGGCCCGATCTTCGTTCGTATCAAGGCACGTTAAACGATACAATTGACAGACTTGTTAAACATAAAAGGGCATATAAGGGATTTAACTTTTAAAATTTTGCAGGTTTGGTGCGTTGCTATTTGGCCCTTTCGAAGATGAAAGAAGCCTTGTATGCTGCAAGAGAGGCAATGAAGGCAATGCCCCAATCCGCAAAGGCTCTAAAACTAGTTGGTGATGTACATGCTAGCAGCACAAGCGGTAGAGAGAAGGTGCGCATGATTATCAGCTTCTTTTTAGAACAGCTTTACTTGCTCTCATTTCAGATAACTCCTTTGGACCTTTTATTTAGAAAGTCAGGAATCCAGCTTAGCTCATGAACTCCTAAGTGAGAAGATTTACATCGTCTTAATTGCAAGAATTCAGCTAAATGTTTTAAGAATCTCCATATGTGTTATACAATATACCTGTCAATGGAGTATTTGTAATTTTGAATAGAATTGGATTTTTTTTTTTTTTTCAAAATTAGGCCAATGCCTAGGGTTAAAGTTATCCATTTTTTTTTCCTTGTGTAGGCTCTTTATTCTTTAATCCATGTGAAATTAAGTTGATAGAAATACCAATAGAGGAAAAGTTGATCTCAGTTATGTGTTTGTTTCACCGTTTTATGGTCAAATCCGTCTTATAACTTTCTTCCGTACAGCTATTATTGATATGTCATTTAGAGGAACTTAATGCTTATTTATTAATGAATGAACATCCCATAGTGTCAACTCAGGTTTCCGTAAAATATGCATTCCTTATATAAGCATGCAATGCAGGCAAAGAAGTTTTACGAATCAGCCCTAAGACTGGAACCTGGTTTTCTTGGGGCTGCATTAGCATTGGCCGAGCTCCATGTGATGGAAGGCAGAAATGGGGACGCTGTCTCTCTACTCGAGCGCTATTTGAAAGATTGGGCGGACGACTCTTTGCATGTTAAGCTTGCTCAAGTTTTTGCGGCCACTAACATGTTACAAGATGCCCTTTCACATTATCAGGCCGCGTTGAGGTACTTTTTTTTATATATATAGAGGGCTAAATTGCATTTTTAGACCTGCGGGTTTAACGCTATAACATTTTTAGTCTCAAGATTCTAACATACAGCAATTTCAGTCCTCAAATATTTCCAAATTTATAGATTTTTTTTATTAGCAATTTAAGTCCTATAACTGAAAATTTTGCTGCAATTTCAGTCCTGTTGTTTAAAATTTTGTTGCAGTTTCAGTCATTTGAGGATTGAAATTGCAGCAAAATATTAAATCATAGGACCAAAGACAAAAAGTTGGAACCTTGGGACTAAAATTGCTATTGTGTTAAACCAACAAAACTAGAAATGCATTTTTGCCTATATAAAACAACTATTTTTACCCCTCCCTCCATTTTGTTGTTCATCATGACCTTTTGTGCCGAAACCCAAGGAATTTAATTGGATATGCATTAATAGTTGAGGAATTGATTAGCTAGCCTATTTTAGATATCCATTAATACATGTATTGCGGTTCAGGATGAACTCCCAAAATGAAGCTGCAAAAAAGGGACTAGAGCGCTTGGAGAAACAAATGAAGGTGCGTGTTTCTATATGCTATTACTTCGGAAGTGATTTTCTTGCCAATGCCATAAATGAGAGGCTTTTGAATGTGTGTTCTCTAGAAAGTCTTGAGCTTTTTGTGTATTTTGATAATGGTGCCGATTTTCAGGGAGTTGATCCTGATGCCCCTGAAGAAGATGAAGATAATGAGGTTGATGATGGTGATGGAGATCAAGAAGGTGTTGAGCTCTTATGATGAAAGCTTCATTTTCTTTTCTGCTTTTTTTAGAGTCCTATCGGTAGGTTCTTGTTGTATTATGGCTGGGCCAGGCTAGCGTTATATAGTATTTTTCTTAATGATGAGAGGCTAAGACATGGATGGGGCTTTGTGACATAATAAGAGGATGTAATATTTGTGTTAATGTTGAGCTGAGGTATAGTGCTAAAATGGGTATTTAATATTTGGATCATGATACACAAATCTATATATATAAATAGAATAAGATTTACCTATGTATATAAATAGAATAAGATTTACTAAAAATAGTAGCTAAAAAAATTTGAAAATATTTAATGCACATATTATTTGAAAATTTTTTAAATGTATGCATTGATTGCTTGTATATATATACATTTTTAAATAAAATCAAATCGAATATGATAAAACAAAAATCTTTTGAATAATATTATTAACATTTACAATAATTTTATTGATATTCATAATAATAAGCTAAAAATAGATTTTTCGTGATTCATGTTGATAATATTTTCGTCGAGATAAACATGAAAAAAAATTTCAAGTTCAACTATATTATTAATCTTTTTTCAATAAATATTGACTTTTCATCTTTAAATATTTTTAGAAAATCATAACAAGTTAGGTAAATATTTTTCCTTCCAATTAATTATGCGAAATCAAGTTGTGAATTAAATTCATCAATAGAACTTTTGTTTAAGCTTTATTTAGTTATATAAAAAAAATCTTCAAATTAATATAATGTACCATTTAAGAAATAATGACCAGATACATTAAATAGTTTTACAAATGGCTAGATAATGAAATTAAAACATATCAACTATTTTTTTAGAATTTCGACATGTGATTTATTTATATATTATATTATTGTCAACAGTGATTATTTTTTTTTTATTTTAATTTCTTTTCATAATGAAATTACTATAAATTATATTTTCATTACATAGTATGCTAAATAAACTATAAAGCCTGCAAATTAGAAAAATCCATTGATTATTTAATGTAAATTTAATGTAACTTGCTAATTGTTTTCATTTTTTTAAAAATAACACATCAATGTTAATCCTTATGTTTTCCAACTGATCATTCATTCAATCAGACTTTTCACATTATTCTTTTTCCTCTCCAAAACTTTTTTTCAAAACACCTGTCTAATTAAGAATTTTTTTTTTTCCAACAAAAACATATACACCTGATTTATTCGCACATTTCAACAGAGTTTTATTATTACACCAGGCAATTACACTGCATCCTCCCCCAATGATACTCCTCCAGCAACTCAACCCATATTTTATCCTGCAAAGTTGGAGCACGAGATTGGGAACTACAAGAACGAGCTATGTCCTCCGCCCAAAGGTATCCGTGGACTGAAAACAGCTGAGACCATCAAATGAGGGCATTGTGAAAAGCCTATGCTCTGAAAGACAAAGATTTTCGAAGCTTTGTTACTTCACTTCCATGGAAAACCATGTCAAATATATGATGTAATAAAAATAACACGATTTAGTAGAGTAGAAAGGCGACATTCACATGCAAAATTCAGAACAAATTTTTCAAATGTATACATTATTATAGTGCATGTCCAATGATTGATTGATTATACTTCCAGAATTAATAAATAGTGCATTATTATTAACACGCAAGGGAAAGAACAGGTGATATACCGGAATACTTAGTAAAACTCCTTCGGAATTAACCAAGACAGGCATAGATCTTCTTGCAGCAACTGGAATGGGTTTTAACAATTCAAGACCTCTTCTTGCTGATAACACAGCATATTCAATAATTTTCCCCTTTCCAAGATTCGTCTTCTTCGATAAGTCAGAGAGGTATATCCAATCAGCATCTATCATGAGGCGTACTTTGGCCACAATCTCGTCACCCATAAAGCAATAACTGCAAAAACAGTTGCATACCTTCCAATCCAATACAAGTCTATTCATGAAATATCCTACTTGACCAGGACAAATAAATGTAATGGGATTTGCACATGAAGGTCTATCATAATCTTCAGAGACTAAATCAGTGTTGCTATCGGCTCTAGATCGAAAATTGTCGCTTTCTTCCTTCTGCAAAGAAATAATTGTCCTATAGGTAGAGTCACTTAGAATTCCATGTCTTTTAGCTTCATCTAGAACAGACTCAGAGGAATTTACATCCAGAAATGGAATACTAGAAGAGTCTGGTGAATGTTCATCCAAATATGATTCGCTCTCTGTTATAATCTCGTCTAAGTCGCTATTACCAGGACAATACTGCCCTTTTCCACACAACTTCATCGTTATAGGCAAACCTGAATCAACAGAGCAGCATATGATGACCTTAGTTCCTTTGGATCCTGGAGCTGGACAGAGGTAACAGCACGCTACATCTAGAGAAGTCTGCCAAACTTACGAACAAATAGTAAATAATTTCTTTTATTTTTTTTTTTCTAATATACACGAAAGAGAAAGATACAGTGTGAAACCCACATTCGTAGCATGAAAGAGCTACACTAACCTTGCAGGGGAAAGTAGAAAGGTAACTAATTAGCAATTTCATTGCGCTCCCTCGAACTGGCTTATGTCTTTGTGAAATAAACTGGTGCAAAGAAGAGCAAATGCCATGAGGGGAAATATAAATCACAAAGAAGAGAGTGAATAATGTTTGTAATTGAGATGTTATAGATAATAATGCATAAGAAATTGGTAATACCTGCAATAACAAAGCAACACACTTAGCAAGGTAAATATCTTTTACTTCCATTGAGCGGAGGTTTTCTAGATCAATCACTGCATATCCATGCTGCATTTGTATTTTTGGTTGGAGTAAAGGTGGAGCAAAGTAATCAAGCATGACGTCAAGCAAAAGACAAAGGATTATCTCAGTACTGTTTGTTTTCAGCAGGACACAGATAAATTGAATATAAACAGACCAACATAAAACATCTGAATTGAGAAAGCATACAGGCATGATTGTCACAACATGATTCAACAACTGGTGACAAAGTCTGTCAACATGCACTCGCGTTCTTCGGCATGCTGATATAGCTGACTGCAACTCAGCCTTGAATATAGCTACAAAATACCGAATTTCAAGACGATAGTCAGTTGAATCAATGAAAAGAGTGACAGCAGTTGAAACATCTGTAGTTCACTGAATTTCAGTTCTCTCACAACCATTAACTGATAGTGCCTAAAATTATTGGACTCTTTTAATTGGTAAGAATAATTTGGTGTTCAGAACTTAGCGGGAAATGGTAAATAAATCAACTGCATGGAAACTTCTTGTGCATTAGTTACATGAGAGTTCTAAGTTTCAATGGACAATGGGCAGAAAGAATCTGTTTCAGCGAAAACTTTTGGGACATATATTATAATTGATCATTTAAGTGATTTTGATCTTATAGCTTGTATTAGTTATGATCATTGTGTATACCGTTTCTTCAACTTTATCGAAGACCAGCAAGAATATAATGACTTACGTGATGAAATGTTATGCAATGACATCCTGATTCTATTACGAGCATATAAAGGACTCTTGTTTGTCGGATCCTCCACCCACTGTCGAGTACTAGCACGACAAATCTGCAGCACTAATAAAAATAATATTGTAGCTTACTCCCGAAAAGAATTTATACAGAGATAGATATATGACAACTACAATAGGTTCACAGTCATTCAAGTACTATTTTAGTTTTTTTTTTTTTAAAAAAAAAAAGACCTACATCATACATATCATCTTTTGTGAACTCCAGAAGTGGTCTGACTAGTAACATGCCGTTCGCGTTTGATCCTTTCCCACTAGAATCAGGAAATTCCGCAAACATTTGAGAAACAAACGCCATACCAGCAAGCCCGAGAACACCACTATTTCTAGATAATCTCAGAATAAATAGCTCCGCCTGCATCATGTGCATTAGCAATTAGCAAATTTTTTTTATGATGCTTATAACTGAAGGTAATAGCTAACTCTATCATGATAATAAAACTTCAGCGTTCAGCCATTCAAATTTTCCGAAAATAGAAGTGCTGGCTGAAAATGGGATCGGCAGGTTGAAGCTTCGCCAATATTACATTGTCCTTATCAAGACTTTTCAGTCATTTGTTTCACTAACAGGGATCATACATACACAGCTGAAGGCCACTTACAAACTTAAAGGTTATATGTGATGTTCAGTGATTAAAAAGGTGTGAAGCGAGCAGAGGCGGCAAGCCTCTTATTTGGGATGGCGTGAGGCGTGAGACGAGGCACTCTGTTTTATGAGGCGCCCAAAGGCCACTATGCCACACCTCACGTCATGGAAACAATCACTGGTGATGTTGATAACTTAAAGCGATAATAAATAATGGTAATAAACTCTGCTGAAAGTCGAGGAATAACATAATCTAAAAATGGAAAATATAGTAGATGTGACAAACCTGATCATCAGCATGATGTGCAACCAACAATACGCTGATCTTCTGCTCGATGCATATATTCTGTAAGGTTTCATACCTGTATAGATATGGAATTAGATATAGTACGAAAAGACGCCACAACTCTAGAGGACTTGCTCGTTCTTCTCCCTGTTTTCTCCTCTGTAAAGACGAATAGTGCATCCAAAGAAAGAAAAAAGATTATTTATAATCAGAACAAACACCTCTTATTGCGAGCTGCTTCTTGTAAGTGACCAGGCTTGGGCCTACCATCCAACCATTCACAGCGGACTACTACACATTTGATTCCTAAACACAGCCTTCATTATTTATCCATCATCCAACAAAATCAACTTATACTTCATTTTTGGAAATTGAAATGCAACAACCTAGGCATAGCAAAGAAAAAAGGGAAATACCCATATCTTGGACTCGATTGTAAACGATGTTTGCTTCCTCGGCACTTTCTACTCGCAATCCATGATCCACAACAATTGCCAAAAGGCCATCAGTTGACTTGTTTCTTTGTTTGTCAGCCGCATCAAATTTATTGCATTTCCAAGCAGCAGTTAATACACAAAGTGCTATACTATCAGGACCACCAGAAACAGCTATTGCTGAATAGAAAAGTTAACACACCAAATGAGTTACCACCTAATGTATAGAAAAAGATATTGGATACGGTTTACAAAATCTTGATGTTCACAGTGACCCCGAAAAACATAGCCTCGGAAAGAACACATAAATTTTATGCCACATTCATTGATTAGAAAATTATGCAAACATGAACAGTTTGAAAGAAGATAACGTTGAAAAGCACATGGATTCAGACAATATAAATGCTGGTAAGCGTTAGCCTTTATGTTAGTGTATATAACAAAGAATGCTATTGTATTTCCCAAAACAAAAGAGTGTTGTGGGTACAAATATGCATACATTTTAAATTCTTAAAAATGCTTTCCTTGAGTTATATTATGTGGTGACTTGAGGAAAAATTTCATATAAAAGCAACAAAATATGGCTGAGATATTCACTATCCCAGAACAATACCCTCACGCTTGCTAATGCAACCTCACGAACAAAAAGGACAGGGCCTTGATAATATACACGTAATGTGGGAATGCAAAATGATGTAGAAGCCTGAGACGAAAAATTACTGTTAGAACATTTTAGCACAGAGAATTGAATTCTCAACAACATACATTTGTATCATACAGGCTGCAGATGGACAGAAATATAAAATATATTTTACATCCCAGAGGGACTAAAATTGGAGATCCCATTGTTTCTGTCATGAGTTTCTATTCCTGTAAGTAAAGAAAGAATTACCCATTGGACAGCCATAACAACTATCATCTCCAGTTATGCAGATGCCATTAAAATAATGATATGCCCATTGGTAAACAATGGAAAATGAAAATAAATTGCATCACTAAATGATGAGAAACAATAAAAGAATGAATTTTTCCTCACGAAATTTCAACCAGCTAACACTTTTAACTCATTTTTCCAGATAATAGAACTTACTAAACAGAAAACCCAGGCGCTAGTTACCTCATCAAGTATAGATAACAAAAAGAAAATTAGGCATTAGTTTCTGACCAAGACGGTGATGGGGTTTGATGCCAGCCATGGCCATTCTCTGGGCAAACTTCTCTGTGTACTTGGACAAGTCAATTCCTGGAGGCTGCCGGTGGAGGGTGCAGAAGAGGCGGAGGCGGAGGAGGGGGCGGGAGCTCTGTCCAAGCCACGAAATGAAGGGTGGAAAAAACACCGGCGGCGTCCACGCCGCTGCTTTGCTGTGAACCCGTAAAGGAGTCAGGACGCCTCGGGCAGCCATGTAAGCCGGCGCAGAAGCTCTGCAGCTCATACTAAAACTACAAGCTCTGCGGTGCAATTTGGGACCGTAGATGTTCTAACAATTTGATCCAAGAGTCGTGCTTTCTTCCTCAAGACCATCAGGATATGGCCAATGCCCATATTAGTACTCATTACTATACGCGCCTGCTTGCCGGACAGGTCGCTGGATTCCTGTCTTTCATTCAGATTAGAACAGGTCATTCACGGTTCGAACTTCCTCCCACCGCTAAAACCAAAGATTCGTAGCTTCGGCTTAGACCTTCCTTCCGGATGTCTAGGATCGGGTGTTCGTGAAGTTTCGATCTGATGTGACGGAAAAGCAAAAGGGCGACAGGATAAAGCGGTGGGATAGCGGGGTAAAGGTTGGGAGCTTTTGAATCTTCAGTAGGGGAAGAGGTCGCTACCAGCTTTACCGATTTCGAAGAAATTCTTAAGAACTGCACGAGGGTCGATGTAATTGAGATACAGAGGGGGCTGCCAAGCCACTCACAACCAAAAAGATGGAATAATAGTCCATTATATATAATTTCAGAATATCTTGAGTCAAAGTGGCATATTCTTTAGGGGTGTCTATATGTACACCCCATAAATTTCTAATTGTACACCCCTCTCTAATTATCCTTTAATTACTTTAATCATTACTAAATCATTACGTGATGTGACTTTTAAATTATTATATGATTTGACTATTAGTTATTAAATGATTTCAAAATCATTACATGATTTAACAATTATTTTTAAAATAAATAAAAATAAAGGCATGATTTGACCAATATTATAAATAAATACATTTTTTTTTTGTATTATTACAATTGTAGACGATCCTTATACATTTGTCTCCATTCTTTCATACAGACACTTTTATACGGAGAAACTTTGGGCATTGGATGTCCATTTTGCAAATCCACTTTCACAAAATGATTTCCATGAACAAATGCAATTGCTATGGATTGATTTAGTTCTGGAGCTTGTGGACTTGTCCAAAGCGGAAAGAATGTGTAACTACCTGCATCTGTTAAAAAATAAAAAATGCAGTTGTACTTGTTTGCGATCACGAGACCAGTTTCGGGCATTTTTATCCAATGCTCAATCGGTGCAAATCCAATGCCTTGAAATTTGAAGGAGTGTTCCACAACCTTATAATAATCACCAAAAAAAATTTTATAGTGTTTTTTATTGGTATGCAATTCCTGCAATAATTCATGACGAATCGATGGCCAATCATGTTGATCTCGACCAATAGCAACAGCTACTGACCGAAAACCACAATTTCCATCGCCTTCAACATCTTCAATCCCGATGACATATGGTTGAAAGAAAGATGGAATTTCATGAATCAGTGGATGTGTATACCGTGTCGGTTCCTAAAAAAAAATATAAGATAAAAGAAATTTTAATTGACAACTAGATTGTATCTTTTTATAAAAAAATAAAGTATAAAATAACAATACCTCCATTATTGGCTGCTGATAATAATATTCGTTTTGTTGTGGCAGTTCGTAATGATCATAACCATATTGAGTTGATGGTGCCGGGTCTTGATAAACAAAGTTCTGCTCGGACATAGGTGGCAGATCATTCAAATCAAAAGAAAAAGGCATATATGAGCTACACTGTGGTGGATCAACCTTGGGTGGCAGATCGCGGTAGACATATTCACTGTGTCGTGGTGGCTCGTTCAATTCAGACTGAACGGCTGGTCTATACGATGAACAACTATGTCTACGACTTTCATTAGGCAACACTTGTTTGTCCTTGCTGGATTTTGAACTTGGACGACCACGGATATTTTTGTGAACAGAAGGTTCACCAACAATATAGGTCGATGGTTCAAAAATCCCCCTAAGTTTTCTCAAAAATGAGACCTTCCCTGACTTTGGCTGATCTGCAAAACCTTTTTTGAACCTTTCAAGCTCAGCATCACAAGTTACATCATCCTCCTCCTCTACTGTAGGGTCAGGAATATCTAAAGTCCTCCAGAAGACATCAATTTCTTGTAATGGAATAAACAAGTCTTCTTTCATATAGAAGTTAAGTTCGTGCGCACATGGTAACCCACAACTTGTACGAAGTTGACACCCGCAAGTTTCAGCAGTAATTTCAACTACAGTGTCAAGTCGCTCTAGTTCCGTAAATATTTTTTTTAAACCATTTTTTGATACTTTTCCATGTAAAAATTTAAATTGACGTGAATTTTTCAACTTATGTGACAATTTTATTTTGCTTTTTTCTAATTTATCTTTAATAGATATGTATTGTAATTTTATTATATCTTCTATTGTTTCGACTATCTTATCTAACTTATTTTGTGACGAGTTCAACATACTTTTTAAGTGAGCATGTGAACTCTCAACCCTGTTGGTTGTATTATTATCAAATGTTAGATATTTATCACACCAAGCAGATACGAACCTCTCTTTGTACGGATCCAACCAAGTGTCATTTAAGTACGTGAGTACATGACCTGAAACTGTAAAAAAATATCGTTTCAAACCTACATGTAAAATAATTATACAAAAAATATGACATTTTAAAATAAAAGACAATAATTCTATGATGTGTATACCTTGGTTGTCATACAAAAATTGTTGTAGCCGAATATAATTAGTCGAATATATTTCCACTGTTGGAGATTTTATCAACACATCCCATCTGTGGTTGAATGAATTCCAACCTTGTAAATTAAAACAAGGTCTGCAATTCTTTAAAATACTCTGCGAAATATGCCACCTGCACAACAATCTGTTGGAATCCGGAAACACGATCGTGCATGCATTCATTAGAGCTAACTCTCGGTCCGTAACAATGACATTTGGATAAACATTCTCTTTCAACCTCAACTTTAGCTGATTCAACGCCCAAACGTAATTTGATATTTTTTCTTGATTCATGATGGCGAAACCAATACAAAATGTACTATTGGTTGAAGTCACGCCAACCATTTCTAACAGTGGCATATTGTATCTGTAAACATTTGGATAAACATAATATAAGAATTTATTTTATAAATATTAAATATTTTTATGGATAAAAAACAGATAAAAGAAAATTACCTGTTTGTCTTGTACGTGGCATCGATCAGTAAAACTTGCGGAAATGACCGCCAAATCGCCAAAGATGTTGGATGACAAAAAAATAAATCTTCCAATTCATTGGTTTCTCGGTTTTTATTAAGCTCGTAAATAAAACTTTTATCCTCCAAAGTGATCAAAAGAACCTCCATTGGGGTTTTACCAGCATACATGGACGTTCTTATCTTGTGTCTTTCATTATAAATATTTTTTAAGGAGGAAAAATTATTTTCATTTCGAGCTCGTATTATACCGAGAATATCACGTGGGCTAACATGAGCTCTGGTCAATTCTGCCACCAACTTTTTTTCTTCTGCATTTAAACGCATCGCAAACGGATGTCCTTCAAAATTTGTAGCATTTGCATGAGTGTGTATGCCACAAACTACTTCTAACTTCCAAGATTTAACCAAATTATTTTCACGCGAAGCAACTAGCTCGAAAGGACAACCGATTTTTTTTGATGCGGTGTCTTTACTAGAACCAATATCTTTATACTCACCGCCACGGTCGCACCGCAACCACATTTTTCTTAATTCATTTTTTCTCGAAAACTTTGAACGTTTTTTTATAACAACAACACCAAGAGATTTAGCGACATTGTTAACCCAATTCAACAATTCTTCAGAAGTAGCAAAATCCTACAAAAAAAAATTAGCATAGTCATTTAATATTAAAAATTCTATTACTGTAAATATAAAATATATTTATAAAATTATTAACAAAAGTACCTCTTCAACGGTAAATTCTGCCGTGTTATCAATAACAAAGTCATCGGATCTTGACATCTTCAAATAAATGATATATATAAAACCGTAATGTGTATATGAAATTTATGAAATTTTTAGGAGTGTGCATATTTGAGCTCATATATTGAAGGCTATATATAGAATATAAAGGGGTGTATAATAATGAAAGCATAGAAAAAATATGAAAGCATCATAGAAAATGGTTGTCATACAAAAATTGTTGTCATACAAAAATTGTTGTATAATAATGAAAGCATAGAAAAAATATGATATGACAATAGGGGGGGTGTATAATTGGTAATTTGTGGGTCATATCATTAAAAAATAAATAAAAAGATGATGTGACAATAGGGGGGGTGTATAATTGGAAGTGTGAGTCATGTCACTAAAAAAATAAAAAAGTTGATTTGACAATAGGGGGTGTATAATTAGAAATGAGTGGTCATGTCACTAAAAAAAAAGGTGATGTGACAAGAGGAGTGTATAGTTAGTAATTGGGGGGTGTACATTTAGTAATTTAAATAATTATACAATATTTTATCAATTAATTAAGAAGGGGGGTGTACAATTAGTAAAAAGGGGTGTACATATAGCATTGCCCATTCTTTATACTTTGAAATCCTATATGACAAAAAGTCATACTTTTTGGAATCAGACTTTGATATAAATTAATTTTATAGAAAATATTAGGCTTGAATTTCATATAATGTCAGTATTTCTCATATTAAATCCATTATTGATATTTTTTTATTTTATTCTACAATTAGTTACCATAATTATTTTATGTTTTCTTTTTCTAAATTACCATATATTACATTTCATTTTTCTACATTACCATATATTGAAGGCATTATTAAGGCAAGCCAATGGTCGAGCGCAAATTCGTTGAGAAATCTTTTCGTGGCTATTGTCCTATGATGCTCTCGAACAACCGAAGTATGTGTGGGAATCATGCTGGCCGTACTTATCGGATGACATATTATATAACTCTCGGAGGGTTTTACAGCACCCAGGTAAACTAATCATTTATGTTTAGCTACTTTTTTTTTTCTTTTCATATTTTTATATTTAAAATGTTTTCTATTTTGTTTTTACAGAATTGGTGATGAGCGATGAGAAAGTAAAGAATCTCGCTTTGGCGGAGGTTGAAAAAAATTCTGCACATACGTGGGATGAGTTTACGCAAGTATGGCACAATGTGTTTTCCTAATCTCGATCGTAATAAGGCATCCACGAATAGATTGGTGATGGACGAGTTGAATTACGATCGTCGTGTACTCGCTATTTAGAATGAGGAGTTAGTTGCCAATATGAATGATGAGCAGTAGAATGATTATGGCTCGATAATAGATTCAGTTTACCGTAACCACGGTCACATGTTTTTTGTATATGGTTATGACAGCACCGGTAAAACGTATGTCTAGAGGGTGTTGTTTTCTGCTTTGAGATCCAAAGGTAAAATTGTGTTGAACATTGCATCAAGCGTTATCGTATCACTTTTGCTGCCCGGCGGACGCACTGCGCATTCACGATTCAAAATCCCACTAAACTCAATGGAAGGCTCTACATGTGACATTAGCCAGCAGAGTCCTTTGACCGAACTGATCATACGATGTCGGTTGATCATTTTGGATGAAGCCCCGATGATGAACAAATATTGGTTCCAAGCGATTGACAACACCTTGCTAGCCTTAATGGAAGCATTTGATCCATCAAGGAAAAATCTTCTATTTGGCGGCAAGTCTGTTGTGTTTGGTGGGGATTTCAGAAAGATATTCCCTGTTGTTCCTAAAGACAGTCGAAGCGACATACTGAATGTGACCATCAATTCATCCAAGTTGTCGCGTCTGACTCAGAATATGAGGCTTCAAAATCTTAGTGGGTGATGAGTATGATGAGTTGAGGCACTTCTCGGAGTGGCTTGCAAGCATTGGTGATGGTACAGTCGGTGGATCGAATGATGGTTGTGCCGACATCGACATCCCTGACGTTATTCTTCTACACTCACAAGGGGATCCTATAGCTACTATTGTTGAGAGCAATGTTTTAAATACCGCACCGTACCGGCCAGTATTACCGAATATCGGTGGTCCGACCAGTACAGTTACACTCTAAATACCGTTTTAGCCAAAATACCAATTTTATACTCGAAAATACCAGCCAAAATACCGTACAAAATACCGGTTTATGCCAAAATTAAATTTTAAAAGTATTTTTTTAATATATTTTCATTAATTTATTTATATAAATTGAAATTTCTACACTTAATTTTTAATATGTTTACATTGTTATTATATGTTAATTAATTTTAGTATTAATTAAAGTTATTCTGTACTTTAGTTATATTATAATAACAAATTAATTTAATATTTATTAAAACCAGTAAAATATAAGGTAAAACTGGTTGAACCAGTTGAACCGCATACCGTTGGCTCGTCTGATATGATTACCGGTACGGTATTTAAAACACTAGTTGAGAGTACCTACCCGATGTTAGCTATATGGAGGACAACCATATTTTCTCTCACAAATTGAGGTCATTAAGTCCGTTGTAGAAAAAACTTTATACGAAATCTCACTTCAAATTTCACCTCCAAGCCTGATTTCACAATATTCTTCCAAAATATGAAAATCTTAAAAAATCTCAAAATGTCACTTAAAATCCCAATTGAATACACCCTCTTAAGCTACATTAATACCTTAAGCTTACACCTTTTATTTGATAGCTTAAATGAAATTAAATAATAAATGTTATTGTTCAATAATCATATTATGACATGTAAAGATTAATACTTGTATATTATCGCTTGAATTCAATTTTCTTATATGAAACCTTTTTTCAACCATGTTGTATATATAATATTATTTAAAATACTTTTTTCTGTAAAAGAGCTTAAGCAACACAACACGTAATGCTATTTCCGCGGGCACAACACTATTTATGCTTTTCACCTTTTAAAACGTTGATCTCCAACATACCCATACGCCAAAATAAAAATAGATGATGCTCGCCTCTACAGCACCACAACATAGAAAACCATGTACCAACGGTGAATTAAGTATTTCAAATAATAAGAAAAGTAGCTAATAATACTTTGGGCACTAAAAAACGGCCAAACAAAATAGCATATCACTGATTTAGCGTCCAAAATACTGTTAATTCTAGAACTACACCAGCATTAATTTTATACTCCATCGAGGGAATTTTCTGTCTAATACACTCCAATACCATATAATAATCCAAGTTTGACCATCTAATAAGCCTTTGGGTACTACACTCCCAAAGCCAATCAATAAGCCAAAACTGACATAAGAGCCAGAGCCAACGGCAATCCAATTTCCATCGACGCAAAAAAGATACCAACCAAACATTTGAAACCACTTACTGCCATCATTTCCTCTTCTTTCCCTGGCAAAATGACCACAAATTTTGTTCAGCCTATGTGTGAAAATAAATCCAACAATGCAGGAAAAAAAAAAAAAGATATAATTACACCCATAAATAAAACATACCGAACTAACATAGTCATCCATCAAAAGTTGTTTCCGCTTTTTCTGGGTTGATGGAGGGCTCTCGGCAGCTTGTCTAACAGCAGCACGCTTTGATGGGGTTGCATTCTGCAATGAAACAAAAAATAATAATAATTACACATGCACATTATTGAATCAATTTTTGAAAGCCTCAAGTCCAAAACTAGGAGCAATGGTTCTTAAAGTCCTAAACAAGACTTAGCATAGAGGGCTTTTTACCTTTGCTAGCTTTTTCTCTTTGCGTGCCTGTCTCTCCCTCTCGTCATATTCTTGGTTTTCTCTCTCCACCAACCGTATTAGCGTATCACATCTCCTTGCAAGCTCTTGAGTTGTGCGGGACTTTACGAACCAATCAAAGCGAAACAGAGGTGAAGTACGAAATGCTGCCTTCAGCTCGTCCCAGTTACCATATCCAAGCTTGTGGACCATGCATATCTTGATAAGAGTGGTTAACCAGAGTTAAGCTTCAGAATTATAAATGAAGCAATAAAAAAAACTAATACATATACTTAAAAAGAGATGAAAGTTAATTACGAATATTGAAAATCTAACCATAAAGCGGTCACATTCTTCATTGTACAACTTCCCTTTGTTCTGGCCATACTGGATTTTCAATTCCAGCCAAGGGTTCTTGTAGCGGTCCAATTTCTTCCCAATAGCTTTCATGATCTCATCTTTCCGCGAAATTCTGGCCTCTCCTCTCTCAATGTTTTTAATTATTCTATCGTAATCTGGACAATATCAAATAGATTATTAGCATCATGTAATATCTCAATGTTTTTAATTATTCTATCGTAATCTGGACAATATCAAATACATCATTAGCATCATGTTATATCTGCAGGCAAAGGCCCTAGTAATTTCAAGACGACAACTGGTAGTCGTGAACAGAATGGCCACGATTTCTGATGAGTTACTTGAAACAAAACTCACCCTCACAATCTAGTTCAATTGCACAAATGAAACAATTAATTATGCTTCAAAATTATAAATATCCCATGGGACTTGTGCTTGCCTAATCCCCTCTCAATAGGCACAAG